TCTACCAAGCTAGTTTTCTCATCACAGGGCATTGTGAGGTTAGTTATTTCAGCATTATTTCCCTTCAAGTAGGCTGACTACTTCTGAACACTACTTTTGTTTTTTCCCCTCAAGATTATTTGAAGGTTAATTTTTTTCAAGGTTATTTTCAAGGTTATTTGCTCCATTGCCTTCCCAAAGATCAATCAGAGGCTGACTGATTCCAGGTCCTCTTTCTTGTTCTCTTGATGATTTGATAGACCCTTCAGCACCAGAGTTGAAAGCAGGAAGAAGACAAACCATTCCATAGAATGCTAGTTTGGCATGTAGTTACATTAAGATTCGTATGCATATATAGATTTAATAATTAATAAACAAAAGAGTTACCTGTGATCTAGTTAAAAATGTCTCCTTGCTGCCGTGTCTCGGTTCTTAGTACTTCAGCTTCCCTGTTTCTACTAAGATCATGGATATTGTATTGTCTTAATTTGGAAAAGTTCTGAACTTCTGGTGGTTGATAACAAACTGTTGAAGTTTTGGCTCCAGTTGTCCATGTCAAGCAAAGAGATGTAGATATTCTTTAACTGAGATACAGTTAGATATATTTCACCAGATTGGAGTTTCTTTTAAAATAAGATTTTAAGCAGCCCCAGATAATACATTTTTTCCCCAAAATGCTCTTTGTTTTTCTAAACATCTGATTTGGGCAGAAGTATTTCTCTAAATTGAGTGGCTTCATTGGCAGAGGGCTCAAACATGCAACAGAATTAATGTGTCTTAACAAACAACTTAGTGTTAGCTGAACCACAGTAACTGATGTTGAACATGTTTTTAACCTATGGCAAATACAAGATAGAATGTATTAGCTCATGCTTTAATGAAAGAGTTGAAGCAAGTGCATTTTATCTTGTATTTGTAATGACCTAAGAATGCACAGATAGTTTACTGTAGCTTGGTAAACACATGGTATTATTAAACCCATGCATTAGAACCCTTACTCTTTCATAAAACAACAATTTGGATGAGGCAGTGTCCAATCTTCTTCATTAGGTGTGTGATTTTTGAATGTTTAGGAGCTCATGACTCATTATCTTTCCACCTCTGGTTGTTTGGCTGATGCTTTTGCTCCAGGGCTAAATGGGGCAAAAGTGACTTTCTGAAAAGTGCAGTGAAAAGCAGTCCACCAGCTCAGATAAATGGTTGGTAGACTTTTGACTGATGGCTAATGACATGTCCCATTTGACATGCTGAGGTGCAGGTGTCTACAAGAGATACCAGTTCTTACAGGGGTCTTTCTCTGCTTTCCTCCTCTCCATTTTACTTTGGTGAAGCATATTTTATTTTTTTATGAAGTCCTATCATTTAGTATGGTTTAGATAATTTCTGAAAAGTGTTTTATCTTCTGTCTTTCTCTTATCTCCTTCCACATTTGACTTAATGTTGCTGTAATTTTATCTAGATACATTGAACAAGACGATTATTAGATTTTTATTTATCATGGCTCATGATTCTGCAGGGATGAGACTTTTCTCTCAGGGACATCTCTTTATTTTAGCCACTGGAAATTATACAAGGCTTGTTAAAGAATCAAAAGACAGGCTGAACAGTGGTTGTAGCTTTCTTTGTTGGTACTTGACCTTTCTTCAGTGGACATATAATTTGATTTTAACTTATCCTACACCTTGTGTCAGCTACTCTCTTTGCTCTGTTCCTGTCTCTTTTTCTTGTTTCCTGATGCTGCTTCCAGTGAATTCCCTGTTGCTTCCTGTTCTCTCCTCCTTGGCTGAGTAGTGCTGAACTTTCCTCAGATCTTTGTCCCTTCCTCTTGAAACAGAGCCTTTGGATTGAAACAGTCCAGCCTTCTCTTAAAGGAACAGCTGCCAAATAACTGCTGCCTGAGTATCAGTTGATAAGGAAACTATTGCTTTTTCTCTACCCTCTAAATAATTTCCATGGATGGCTGAGACATCAAACTAACTGGTGTATTTGAATGTAAAGCTCGGTGACTGGGCTGCAGATGTTGCTGCTCATGTATCAGTGGCAGAACTTCTGAGTTACTACAAAAGTGCTTAATTCCCTGAGGACATAAAGAATGGTTATTACTCTTTAGTTAAGTTCAAGAAATGTATTCTTGTCTCAACAGACTTTGTGAAAGAACATAACAAGTCAATCTTGTTATTGACAGGCTGATGACGACCACTTGGGATTAGAGATCATCCTCGAATGCTCTTTGCCATACTCTTTAGTACTAGCAATTTTGATATCTGCCAGATAGCTTCTTGAAAACCTCACCCTTTTTTTGCTCTTTCCTCCACATGATTCAGCTGGTGGTGTCTGATACAGCCAGCTGTAAGAGCAATATGAATAACAGGTATTTTATGTTATATGTGTAGCATAGCTTCATATCCTCATGTGTGGCTGCCCTGAACTTCTCCATGGACTGACATGCGCATCTACTAAAAGATTGGCTCTGTTGTGCTAAAATCATTGAAGAGCAGGTTTTGAGGGAAAATTTCACAGGATCATGAAAACGTGAGATGTGTGCCCAGCATGAAAATGCCGATATGGAAATCCACATATGTTTTGGGAGAAGAATAAAGTAGGTCATTTCCATATCACTAAGGAGACAGGTTCCCTTTGAAGTATTTCCATGGAGGATACTGCATATGAGTAGACATAGACATGTTACTGCATATTAGATCAGTTCAGTTTAGCTTAAATGTTTAGCTTTCAACATTTGCTTGTACATAGTTTTCTATCAGTGAGCAATTATATCAGACTTGTAATGGTTTATATTACTTTTCCTTTCTCTTTTCTTCTAACAGCTATCAGCACATTATGTTATAAATTTATTTTATAATGACACACTTTAAACATAGTCATATTTTTGCTTTTGGTATTTTCTGACTGATGGTCTTTTGATGTTTTATTAAACTTTCAGTTAATAGGTATTTATATGCTTGTGAATTGAGTAGTTATGAACTTTCTTAGCAGCGTTTCAGCAACTTTAAGCAATATTAAACACAAGTCTATGAAGCTAATGTGGTAGCAAAGGAAAATAGAACTTGTTGCTTTCTTCTAGGTAACATATGTGACATGGAATATTACATGTTTTTTTCTTCTAGTATTGTAAGTTACAAGCTTGAAAGACTAAAAAAATGAAATAAGTTTTTAAAATGAAAGGTTGATCAGTATAAGAGGGAAAGAAAATAACAAGAGAATTATTATTCTCCTTATTATGTTTTTTTTACCTTGAAGCATTATGGCCATAAAATTAGTTTTGTTCTGGTGATGCTGAATCTATTTACTAATAGACTACCTGAAAAATTATGAATCACACTTATGAACCACAGAATATTTTGAGCTGGAAAGGATCCTTATGGATCACTGAGACCAACTCTTAATAAGAGTCAATGGTCTGGTTTTTGAGGGCTGAAGAAGGCTAGCATTCTTTTGTTTTTTGCACAATAATTATTTTTACAGTTCTTGAGAAGAATTTAGAACCACAGTATGTGTTTCTTTATTGAAAATTAAGCTTGGTAAGCACAGTAAAACTTCTTCTAGTAAGTATTCAGACTTAAATACTTGTTATTTTTCCTTTACATGTAAACATTGTAGTGTTATGGGCTGGAATAGGATAAGAATGTGAAACTAGCAAAGTCCCATCAAATGCTGTGGACTGAATTCACTCAGGTGCATACTGCAGGATTCTTTCAGACTGGCTAGGTCTCAATCCTATGTTAGGAAAGAATTAGATGTGTGCCGTATTTTGCATGTCCTGGTTTTGTTCTAAAGAAAGTCAGAATGCAGCATCAGAAGAAGGTTTTGATATGTTCTGGTAACTTCCCTACCAGGAGGGATCACAGGACAAGTGCAGAAGGACAAACCAGAGCTCTTCTTTCTATGTCCTCTGGACTCTGCCAGAGAGCCTAGATTTGTTTCACAGAGCTGAATTGGTTGTAAGACAAGTTAGTTACATGTTGCTAATACTAAGTTATTCCATTGGTTTACTGTAGTATGATTAAACAGATAAGGAGAAACTTTACTTCATAATTTGTACATTGATGGCTACTTACAATAGCAAGGTGGTTGACTATGCAAATCTATGCTAGGTATTGCAGGGTGTTAAATCTAATTCTTAATACTCTAGTCTGAAAAAGCTTGCTTTGGTAAAGAAAGGTAAGTGCAATTTACCTTTACTGAATAAAAACCAAATGCGTAATAGGTTCTTTAAGCATCTGGGGTCTACTCTGAAACCCTGGCCTTTTCTATTGTTCCAACTTAATGAAGATAGATTTTTTTTTTCCCCTCCTAACTGATGCATATGACTAATCCAAATATGATTTCAGTGTAAAAGTTCTTAGTCTAGAAGTCTTCTTCCTTAGCAAAACTAAGTCCTTCAAGCTTGTAAATACTAGAGCTTTATGTTATGTGTAACAAACTGAGGTTGACCTACCTATCTTTCCAACTGTGTGACTATATCACTTCTTAACATTCTCTGTACTGCTGGGAGTCACAACATGCACAAATAGCAAACAGAGTTGAAAGCCAGTGGAGCTCCAGGAGATAGAGGCAACACTGACTTCATGGTGGTTCCTCTACTTCTGTGTAATAGGTGCCTAGCTGGGCAAAGAGTGTTTCTGAGCCTCAGGGTAAGTTGGTGATGAGAACTCCAGCAGCCCCTGCCAGCTCCCTCCTTCCCACAGCCAGGGGTTTGGATTACCCAGCAGCCCTGCCACCAGAATAACCCTGCTGCTGGTCACCTGACATAGCCGTGACATAGGAGCTGCATTTGACATGTTTGCGAGCAGCTCATGACCCGCAGGCTGGCTACCCTGACTTGGGCATTAGAGCCTCATACAGTTTCATAGATTTGATCCAGTTGCTGATCGTCATATGAGCTGCACTGGCTGTTTTCCAGTAGTGTATCAATATCTAGTGCTGAATTGCATGACTGGTCTAACGCATAGTCTGTACAACATTTGTTTTAATTTTTTGTTTTCTTTTTTCTTTTTATTCAGACAGGGGATTTGGCTTCTGTGCAATTAGCTGGAGCTCCAAACAGATGGGAGGTCTTGTCTGCAGCTCCTACCACTATAAAGGATGAAGCTGGTAATATAGTACAGATTCCAGGTGCTGCCACAGTAACTTCAAGTGGGCAGTATGTCCTTCCTATTCAGAGTTTGCAAAATCAACAAATCTTTTCTGTTGCACCAGGATCAGATTCGTCGAATGGTACAGTGTCTAACGTACAATACCAAGTAATACCCCAGATCCAGACAGCGGATGGTCAGCAGGTTCAACTTGGCTTTGCAGCCTCCTCTGATAATAGCAGTATAAATCAAGAAACTGGTCAAATTCAGATCATTCCTGGCTCGAATCAAACCATCATTGCCTCTGGAACATCTTCAGCTAATATTCAGAATATCTTATCTGGTCAGTCTGGTCAAGTCCAGGTTCAGGGAGTTGCAATTGGTGGTTCGTCTTACCCTGGCCAAGCACAAGTGGTTGCTAACGTCCCTCTTGGACTGCCAGGAAATATTACTTTTGTACCCATTAATAGTGTTGATCTAGATTCTCTGGGACTTGGCAGTGGTTCTCAAACCATGACAGCAGGTATTAATGCAGATGGGCACTTGATAAATACTGGACAGGCCATGGATAGCTCAGATACTTCTGAGAGGACTGGTGAGCAAGTTTCTCCTGAAATGACAGAAACTGCCACTGATAATGACTTATTTGTGCCAACGTCATCTTCATCACAATTGCCCGTTACCATAGACAGTTCAAGTATATTGGAACAAAATGCAAATGACTTGACCACAACTAGTGGTCAAGTTCATGGTTCTGATCTTCAGGGAAATTACATCCAGACATCAGTCTCTGATGACACGCAGGCTCAGAATATTCAGGTCTCCACAGCACAGCCAATTGTACAACACATACAGCTACAAGAGTCGCAGCAGCCAACCAGTCAAGCCCAGATTGTACAAGGTATTGCGCAACAGACAATCCACGGTGTTCAAGCAAGTCAAAGTATATCTCAGCAGGCTCTTCAGAATCTTCAACTGCAGCTGAATCCTGGAACTTTCTTAATTCAGGCACAAACAGTGACCCCTTCTGGGCAAATAACCTGGCAGACATTTCAAGTGCAAGGAGTTCAGAACTTGCAGAACTTGCAAATTCAGAATGCACCTGGTCAACAAATAACTCTGACCCCTGTCCAGACTCTCACTCTTGGTCAAGTTGCAGCAGGTGGTGCGTTGACATCAACTCCAGTTAGTCTAAGCACTGCTCAGTTGCCAAATCTACAGACAGTTACAGTAAACTCTATAGATTCTGCTGGTATTCAGCTGCATCAAGGAGAAAATGCTGGCAGTCCTGCAGGTATTTATTTTACTCTTTTTGCAAAAGATTGGTTTTTATTACTGCATGTTGTTGGTTTAATTGGCAATAATCAGAACATCATTGTCTTGCTATTGAAGCCTACAGATACAGTGAGTTCAACATGGTGATGATATATTTTATTTGAAACTACTGTTGGATTAGAAACTGTAATTGTAGAACATGGTCCTACCTTAGTCCTTTAAGAATGAGCTCATGTAACTTCTAAGTAGTTATATTAGTTAACAGCACTTCAGTGTTTTTACTTAAAGGTCTTACCCTGGAGAAGGTCTGTATACTAAATTAAAAAGGGGGAAATCTGGCTATCAGCTGCCACTCTTCTAAGGCATCAGTATCATTAACATACCCATTCTTCCTAGTCCTGAATAGATGATATTTCTATGGAAAATTCACATATTTGGTTTTGCAATTTTTTTCTTCTTAAAATTTTCAGACCTCCTCAGATGCTGATATTTATCTGCTCTTTCATTAAATTAATTTCCTACTGACTTACTATCAGTGTTACTATGATGTAGGAAACTTGTGTAAGCATCAGTGATACAAGCATGCATATATCAGAATGGAGATTATGCTTAAGAATATGTGTGAATTTTCAGTACTGCTTACTTGCATTATGTTTTAAAGTACAATCATTAATTAGGAGTATCACACTGTTTTATCTCGGTGGAGAAGAAATATTGTTTTCTTAAAATAGGTGGTTTTTAATGTGAGAAAAAATAAACATGCCTTTTTATTTTTGATAAATTTGATACAGTGCATTCCAAATTTCAGGACATAACTAGCCAAACAAAAAAGAAGAGATTATTGTAGTTCAGGAGATTCTGCTATAGCAGAAGCCATTTAAACACATTATTGGGTTGTGCCCAGGCCAGTTACTAGGGGCAGAGTGAGCAGTAGAGGTCATTTGGGAGGGAACTGTTGCACAAAGTAGTTTGGGAATCACTGCTTTACTATGATCATGTGATCCAACCCTCTGGTTCATCAAGATTCTGAAGCATAAATATTTAAGTGAAGCATGCATGGTTTGTATTGTATATCTATTTTAGCTTGTGAGTAGAATGCAATGTTAAGTGAAACATGCCTAGAAGACCTGCTGAGTTTTGTTTCAAAAGGCTACTGATTATAATACCTATATAGTTACTGATACTACTGTATTCTATGTCAAGAAGCTTCCTTTCCCATTTGCAATCTAAACTTTGAATTGAAAATACTGTGCTGGGATGTTTTTTAGTTAATTTTGTTTTGGAATTGACTTCTGTATTATGAATTTACCATCAAGTAAAAATATTCAGCTCTCGATAAGCCTACTCTTCATTGGCTTGTAGACAACAGCACCAAAGGGATATGCTCTGCTCACAGCATTTGCTCTTCTGTCTGATCATGATTCTTAAATTTTCTGTTTACAGTGACCACAAGAAGTCTTGGTTTGTCTCCATTACACATTTTAGCTCTGAGTATATAGATGACAGTAACAAAAAGCATATATTCTGCATGTTAATACAGCTAAACTCAGATGTCAGAATCTAAGTCTGCGAAAAAGAGTCCTTTAGTAATTATTATTAGTTCTCTGGCTAATACAAGGAGGATTATTTCTGAGATTTATACTTTGTATAGGATCATGTAGCTAATGATATTGCTCGTGGAGTAATGTAGCAGAAACTTGAGAAGCAAAAAACCCCCAACCAGCTAGGCACATGAGAAAGAAGTTGAGTATGATCTGTGCTGTGTATCATTTTGTCTATTGATCATTCTCAAGAGTGTTTCAATGGTGGTTTATAATAAAATGCAAGGGAGTTCATCAGGCGTTCTTTAACTGTATTCTGCTATAAGGTATTTCACATGGGAAGGCAAGAGACTAAATGGGATATATGAAATGTGATTAAATAAGCAGAAGTGCTAGATGAATAGCAGGAACTCTTGCCTGAAGTGCATAGCTATAAACACCTGGTAATATTAAAGATAAGATGGAGATTTATAGTAACATTTTTCCTACTTGTCTAGGAATAATAAATGGAATGGAAAGTATTAAAACTGCCATTCCCTGCATTTGGGGAGAATGTAATTGGTCATTCCTTTATGTTAGAAGAAACTCACTTTTCCACAGTAATAGTTAGTGTGACACTGCTTCTGACAGAATGAAACTGAATTATCTTGATTGACTTTTGTGTCTTTTCCATATGCATCTGGTATTTTGTCTGACAGAATCTTTTTCAGAGGTGTTTCTCCCCTTCTTATTTATAACCCCTCACAACCTTTCTTCAGTTTGGAGATAAATATGCAATTAGAAGCAGATTATGAAATAGAGGACTTTTTTCAGTCAAATGTATGTTGTTGTTTTTCAAATAAGGAAAAAGTTTAATTTTAAACTGAAAGAAGGTAAGTGGAAGAGACAGCAGAATGAGAGAAGTTAAAGGGTGTGAAGCTACTTGATTCCTTTTTTTGCCAACTACCAATGAGTTTTGAAGCAATACAATAAGGGTTTCCCTGTATTGTCTCCCCCAAGCTGGATAATGCACTCCTTTCATTCCAGGTAGAGTCAGGCTGTATTTTCTGTTTTCATTTAAGAAAATCTGTCTACCTGAGGCAAAAATAAAAAGAACATATTGCTAGTTTTGTGTCAGAGATGGCTAGTAATTATCTGAAGTCCAAATAATGTACTTTGTTCTGTTAGCAGTGTAGCTGTGAAAGTGGGTAGGTTTTAGATTTTCATTGTTACAGCCCACTGTGTGAAAGGTGTTCTTCCCAAGGCTCACTCCCCCTGAAGGCAGCAGAGGACATCTTTACTGTGCTTGTGTGTGAGGGGAAAAAATGTCTTTACCTAGGTCTGACATTTTGTTTACATAATAGAAAGCCATTGAAACCCTAATACAAAACTAATAACTTTGTCCAGTAAATGTACAGTTTTTTTCGAGAGGTGTCAGTAATTATGTTTCTACCAAAATGTCCATTCTACAAGGCATATGTAGGCATAGACCTACATTGCAGTGAATTTCTGGAATTCTGGAAAGTCTTGGCCAAGCTTGTTTTGTCTTAAGATGTTGATTAGAGCTCATTCCTGGCTGTGCTTAGTGTTGTGACCAGGAGAAGGGTGTTGGTTAGTCACAACTGGGACTCTTCAGCACCGCTTTTCTAGCAAAAAGCTGTATTAAATAGTATCTATATATTAAACACTGCAGGGAGATACCTTTCTCACCTGTGTTTTGGCTTCACTCTTCTGAGTGGAAATTGAGAGGAAATTAAACCTGAGAAAGCTCTCAAGAAGTGTACTTTTGTTGGCAGTTTGTAATAAAATAATGCGTTGTGTATAACAACAGAGCCATTACATGCACAGTTCACGTTACTCTTTAGTGACTTGCCTGCTCAAGAAAGGTGGAGTTTTTTATTAGCATGTTTATATAGATTTCTTCTTTAAGCATTTCATATAACATAGTATTTATTTTGGAAAACTCTCAGGAACTGAAATGTACCAACTTGGCCTTCATATTTCTGATCCTGTAAGTTTTGTCAGCTTGGAAGAATTTCCAGAAAATCCAGAAGTTACTGGATTTTCCCCCCGTCCCCAAGCCATTGTCCAGCTGAAGGAAACTTAATGATGTTAATAAAATTCTAATTGTAGTAGTGTCTTAGCTAATTTATTAATGTACTGAATCAGTTTGGGATTGGTTATTTCCTGGAAAAAAAATGGCAATTTTACCAGGTCTTATATAGGTTGCATAACTTGTAATAGGATGCTGAATAATTTTTTTTTACATACTTCTTTTGACCATTGCAGTAGCAACTGAAGACACTAGCAAATGACCTGAAAGAAAGTAGCATTGGCTTGAGAATGGACTTTACTACTTATCAACTCAGTCACACTCAGCTTAAAGATTAATTTATTTTCATAGAAAAAAACCCTACCCTACAAATAGTTTCCAGGTTGGTCGACAGCTGGAATCAAGTCAAAGGGATTCCTTTCAAGAGTTGACTGAAGTGTCACTCCAAACCTGAGGTCTTCATTTCTACATCTTTCTTCCCAGCTCCTCTTCTGCTGGAGTGTACACAGCTCCTTAAGGACTCATCTGCCTGCTGCCATTGACCTTAGAGTCAGGCCTGTTGCTGACTTACCCCAGCTGATAGTGGGTGGCAGTGCTTGACTGTTCGTGGCAGCTTCATTCATTCCATTCCTGCTGGAATCTGACGTTTTTGTCATGCTGGAGTAATTTAGCTACTCTAAATTTGACCAAAAAATTGGCTGACAATTTTCAAGGTAAATAGTTGCCCAAGGGACAAATTATCTTTCATCTGCTGATATCTTGTGAGGCTTGGTCTAATATCTGTTTTCTAAAACAGTCAAAATGCGGAAACAAAATTAAAAATGAAGTATTCACAGTTTTACTTGCTGGGATGGTTGTTTCAATGTTATAGTGGTTCAGATGAAGTAGTGCAGAGTGCTACTTAAATCATAGCTTTCTTCTGGCATCTAGAACTTTTAAAAGAGTTTTGGCTAGTTTTCAGTGTTTCACAACTTAGTTTTTTTTCTTTTTAAGTTTCGGTTTTTAACCTGATTAATTTCAATTATGCAGTTTTTCCTTCTAAGGCATTCTTTATAACAATACTTTGAGACAAGTGCATGGTATCATTTTGAAATAGAATCTGATTTAAAAAAGGAAAAAGTCGTATGAAATGCATGAAGTAAACTGAAGCAATGATGTTAAGTAAATATTTTCATCTGACAATGTCTGTCTGTGGCTATCCAATTTTCATTTGAAGCATTTAGTTTTCATGTTATAAAATCAAAACAGTTGAAACAATTCTCCCCACTATTTTCTTAATATGAAAATTAAATTGGAAACTGATGAATTTAAGTTAGTGTGGGAATTAGAGCTATTTATGTACCAATCTTGTGTAAATAGTTTGCTGTCAGCATGCTTAAATTACATTCCTTATTTTAGCATCATTTTCAAAGGAAATTAATAAATTGTGGAAGAATTAGATGATCA